GATTTTACGTGCTCGACGTACGTTAGTTACGGGTTTGCGCATGCGTATTTCGATTTGTTTACAAACAGGACAGAGCTATCGCGCTGCACGTTTGGTACTAACGTTAAAGTTAAGGTTAACGTCGTGCATCGAAAACGCCCTAATTTTCAGCTGCAACGCAATAACATGTTAGTCATGACCTGTCGGTGACCCAATTTGACCTCTTCGTTGGTTTGATCGCTCGCCCGCGGTAAATTCGGGGCAAAGAAAAAATTAAACCAATAGAATGACATGCTTGAAGATCATACCATACTTTTTTCATACTTTCGTGGTGTGTTGTTTAATTCTTTCGCAGCATGCGCTGTAGCTCGCAAGAAGTAAGGTCAGCTTCAACTTCCGTTGGTGACCGTCATTTAAGCTCCGCCCACCTGCCAATGCTCGCATTACCGTGTTTTTATTAGTTGCACTTTTTCACTAGAAACGCGTTCAGAAGGAATTTAACCGTTTATAAAAAACGCAATCCTATTTCAAAAAGTACTACCTAAATGGGGTGTGGCCTTTAAAAGAACGTAAAGCGCGTTCATATCGAGCGCGTCTATAGAATGTATGCTTGTATTCGAAACGCATCTCGCGTTCGATACGAACGCCTTTTACGTTCTTATAAAGGACACGCCCCTTCGTTGGAGTACTTTTTAACGTTCTATTGCCTGTATACAAAATAAGGGCAGTCGGACCTCTTGCAGTTTTATATTCTTTGAGGGGACCAAAGAGTATAAAAATGCAAGGGGGTCCGACTGCCGGGGATTCTTTGGAACGCAATCCTATTTCAAAAAGTACTACCCAAAAGGGGCGTGGCCTTTAAAAGAACGTAAAGTGCCTTTAACAGAACGTAAAGTGCGTTCATATCGAACGCATGCTGCGCGTCTATAGAATGTATGCTGAAAATCGAAACGCAGCACGCGTTCGATACGAACGCCTTTTACGTTCTTATGAAGGACACGTCCCTTCGTGGGAGTACTTTTTAACGTTCTATTGCCTGTATACAAAATAAGGGCAGTCGGACCTCTTGCAGTTTTATACTCTTTGAGACTTCCAGCGGCCTAGCTTGAGCAGCTGGCTAGTTGCAATAGAGCACCGCGCGCAGCGGATAGCGCCGCTAGACCCTTGCCACAGCAGCAGTAGAGAACAGACACGATCTTGCTAATTAGGCCTACTAAAATTACTGTACAGTATATGTAATCATTGAAATAGCTTTTTAAGACTTGCTTGTTTTTAATATAAATATTTCGTGTTTTTTCTGTTTTAAAATGTTTGTGCTCGTTAGCAATTTAGTTTTATCGTTGATTTAATCCATGATAGTAACTAGCTGCGTAACGCAAAATACCGGGTCTCTGAAGTGTCTCCCAATGGTAGTTGCCAGGTTATCGGAAATTTTCATTTCAAATTTCTCGAGGTTTATAAAAAACAGTTCGCGTTCAGTGAGGTGCGCTGCAATTACTTTTTCGTAAGATGGTAAAGCAAAATCTCATAAATTATTCATAATCCTCATCATAAAACATAGTTTGTGCATGCGCTATTTTCAAGTTTGTGTCAGTTAATTGTTGAATTCAAGTTTATTAAAACTTCACAGTGTAATCTAAGACTTCGCTCGATTCTGCGGAGTTAAGCCTTCGCAAATTTTGCACATCAGTGATCTACTGGCGCCACCACTATCTGCTTTACGACAGACGAAGTTTAACGCGAAGGATTCATCCATCATAGATGATCGTCCGTCATGCAGTAGGCCTAAAAACAAATCGTATTGCCCAGGCCAAACTTATCGGGAAAATCAGGGTCGGCTGGTTTTATAAATTAAAGCATGTTTTATTCATTTTCTTTATTTGATGTTTCTTTCGTTGTTTGTCTAGCTAAAAACACTTTGGCTGTAAAATATGTAGAGTTTACTTAAGAGAAACACGTCTTACAAAAAAAGTTTTTACTTCGGTTTTTTGTGAAAAAGTTATTAAAAAAAACTTCAACAAAAATAATCTATGTATGTTGTTCGTTAGAAAAAAAGAATACAGTGCAAAAATAAGGTAAAGAATGAATAAAATGTTGTTGTAATTTCTTAAATATGTTATGATAATTTATTAGTTGTGTTGTTTGCAAAAACAAAGAAGAAAGTGAAAAAATATTGAAAAGAATCAGGGAGCAGTGAAATTTACTTCACTTTAAATTTAATTAATTAAAAAGAAAACCTATTTTCAAGAAATAACTCGATTGCATAATTAACAGTTTTGCATAACCAAATCACAGTTCTGAATAAGCTATTATCCTTCACCCATTGTTCTGCTTGGCGTATGCTTAAAGTAGGCTACTCCCAATTTTTAATTCATTATACACAATTGAATAAAACATGAGGTCTGATCCAAAAAGCACTCCTAACTGACTAAACCTATTGTATAACAAGATCAAGACAGACAACCCATTGTGCACTTACACTTTGCAATGGTATATTTCATTGTAGGGGGATTTAAACAGGAGTGGCTTTCGACAGGGGTGGCTTAAAACCTATATTCGCTTCATATTGTATTTAGTCGCCAATTTTCTCCTTCATTAGCTTTTGAAATCGCTTCTTTTCCGTGTTGTTGTTAACATGAACTACTTGTTTATGATTTAGAATGTTTTAATTTGAATTTGTACACACTTACTTAAATACTAATGATTGCTAGTATCAAACTTAATGACTTGTTTATTATGGCAGTACCTTGCCATCGGAATAAAAAAAACCGCCAGGACAAAACCCACAGAGCTTGGATTCTTCCATTGTAATATGGTGTCAGACAATTGGGTGTGTTCTTTACAATATTGCATTATTATTTTACGAACGTTGGTTTTACGAATAGTCGATTTTACGAATGGTTTTTGCCCTGATGACGTCATCATCGACCGATTATTACCATAAAAAAAAGTTTGCGCACGTTTTACAAAGTGATAATGTATATTTTTTAAATAAAATCGTGTTTGTTGTATTTACTTATTAATAGTTCGATCTTTTATTTAACTTCTAGTACAATAATCACTATATTAATGTAGTAAACCTAACCAGAACAACGAACTACCAACGCAAGTGTCGTCGGATTGAGCGTACATGTTTACGATCAAACTTGAGTGTTGGGGTCAGCAACTTATCGACATCAAATGCTATATATGATCGCAAAATGCTTGTAAACAACACAATTCGGCGATCAACAACAACTAGAAAGAACACGATAGAAAGGTTCATAAAACATACAGATGTTCGAATAAGAGTTAAAATAATATTTTGTTTGGAAGAATGCCAGCTATTAAAATAATTGGGTTTTTATCGAAGGTAAATTCAGGTGGTCCTCGATATATAGCTACTCGCCTCCCCCCCCCCCCCCCCACACCCGGCAAAAAACTGCTCTTCTTAAGACCACATATAATGGCATCACCACATCTACAGTACCAAACAATTCAAGAATCTGTCACATTTTGGGCACAATTTAAGTCTGTTCTTTTTGAACCATAATGGCGACGAATTTTTCAATCAAGGAGAATCATTTTGTCGTAAAAATCTATAGCGATTTATCATAAAGTAGGTGGACTATGGTGATGTATACCGTCTTTCATGTTACGCTCCCGTCGCTACGGTACTCTTCCGAGGTTCATGCGAGTTAACCTATGTTTTTCCTCTGTTTCCGATATAGATTTTTTAAAATAGTTTCAAAAGCTATACCGATTCCGGTACGATTTTTTAACGTTCACGATTATCGGATAGTCATATCGTCAATTTATACCGATATTTGTTATCGTACCAGTATCGCTATCGGTATGATTGTCGTTGAAGAGGTGACCTGACCTTATGGATCCGCTGGGTGACTAGAGTATCCGCAGTCGGTGCCGATGTATACAACTTCACCCGCAGCTGTGAAAACTAACGTTTGTAAAATAAGCAATTTAAATTTACGAGGAAATTTATGACGGTATTTTATCATTGAAGTGTAAATTTATACCGCTATAATTTTATATAACAATTCTTCACCAAAAATAAGTACATTAAATGTATACTCCTTAGTTGATGGATGGTTATTTGGAGTGTGGTTGCGGCAATTTTCAGAAATAAAGTAACATTAATATAATAACACTCAATTTGTACTAATAGGTAATTCAATTCATTGTATGAGCGTGTTTTTACAAACTAAAAAATTTAGTCAGTATTAGAAAAGTTTAAGCTGAACTGTAGCACTTATATGGCCAGCCAATGATTATAATGCAGATCTTAGTCCAATAATGCCGTATGAAATATCAGGAAACAAAATTTATAATTTATTATGACCAATAATCATCCCAGTTCTCTCAAAGACATGTTGGCATGAGTTGTATTGTACATAGAGATTTTTGAAACAAAATAGAAATTGACATTGAAATTACCAGTATAGGATGAATAGTTACTGATACTACTTTTATATAAAAATATATTGAACATTTGTGTATTTATAATAAATAAAAAGATCATTATAAAGTAACATTTTTGAAAATATTAAATAATTAGAAAATAAAAGTTGTAATTTCTAGTCAGCCATAGCGGACTGACCCCCTTTTCAGTGCAATTGAATTTTAATTTCTCATGTTCTTTGTTATGCTTATGTCTCTAATGACAAAAAAAATGAAATGAAAGAAATAAAGGTGGGTAAAATCCCCACAAAAGAGAAAAAAATATATATATTGAACACCATCATTATTAATTAGGCCAGATTCTAAATGATCTCAAACATGTTATAAGCATGGAGATTCAATACGTTTCCCCACCACCCCAAAAAAGAATGAGGAATTGACAGGCTCAAAATCACCGGTGTAGGATGGTAATCGTTTACTGACTTATATATGGCTTAATTAAGAATAATAATATTATTGGTGGCTATCTTGAATATATCAATCTTTGATATACACAAACTGCTTCTTCCATTGTGAGCGTGCAGTCCATCCGTCATTGTTTGGCTGAGTTTGCCTTTCATAAGCAACAATTATTAGTGCGCTCTCTATTGTCAAAAATGCGTATTGGTTTGGTTGTTGTGCGCTCTTTATTGTCAAAAATGCGTATTGGTTTGGTTGTTGTGTTAGTAGATTTTGTGCAGCGAGGCAAAATATTCGAATTGCTCGATTCTTATCTACGGTAAGCCCAAGATAAGTATTGGATCCGTCAATAGATAGTTTTTTTTTATAAAAGAAACAAGGGAACATTTTAAATCTGATAGCAACTGGGATTTGCGGCTATTCGCTGTGTTCTACATACAGTACTGGGCTGGGCCCTACCTACTCTATTATAGGCCGCTAGGCTTGCGAGGTCAGCTAGTGCTAGGCCTAGCTTAGGCGTAGGCCTTGCTAAAATCGAAAAACGCCCCGCCCTCTAACTTAAGCACTTGCCAATAAACTGCCCCACCCGGGCCATAGCGGCGGGAACTGGGCTGGGACTAGGCTTGGGCAGCGGCATATCTAGGTACGGGGCGCATGCTCCCCCAAAATTACTTGCACGCCCGCCCACCAGTCTACCCCCCAAAAAATTCATAGTCAAATTGTTAAAAATTAACTTATATTGCGAATTAGCGCCCCACAACTGATCGTCGAGGCCACCACCCTTTTCCCCTCCCCACACCACCATTTCAAGACTTCTAGATACCCCACTGGCCCTGGGTCGTGCTTAAAACATTTTTGACAATTGTCAATACATTGTATGAGCTGAATATAATTCTTAATTCATGCAAAAGCCATGATGAATTGCCTATGTTTTGACAGATACAGTAGTAGGGCCTAGTTCTTTTTTTTCTTGTATGATATCAATTGATCTAGTTGCTGTTATTAATTTGACTGGAACAGTCATAGCAGGGTCACCAACAAGCAGGTTAACAGCATGACCCTCCCATTTATACTTCTGGGTGAGGAGAGGCAAATGTGTCTTGCCCAAGGACACAAGCAGTGCGGAGAATGTCGGTCTCAACTTCAAGCTGCCGATCTCACAACCAGAAATCCAACAATTTGCACGCTGCACCACCCGCTCCTAGTAGGGCTTAGTACTCTAGTAGCATACATGTTATATCGGAAGTAGCTAGTGGCTTGAGATTTAACACGAAATAAATCCAATTGGTGTGGGTCGAGGGCCCGCCTAGGAGCTCGAAAAATTTTGGGCTTAGATGCTCTCTGGTGCACTCTTGAATAGATCTCTAGTGCTCAAATTAAACCATACAAATTTTTTATCTAGAATATTAACGATAGAATTTTCTATGTTGCTAAGCCTGATAAACTATAGAATTGTGACGGTTTCAAGTATTTCGATAAGAAGTTTAGATTTAATATAATAAAGCTTAAGATTAGTGAAAAAGTGAGAGATTGTAGGGGAGTGGCTTGAGAGCTTGAGGTTTGGTCGAAAAGCGTGAGGCTCACGTCACATTCGTACAATACAAGCATAAATTTTGTGTTAAATTTAAAGTAAACGATAAAGTATCCTTCATAATTTACCTCTCGCCTATGTTTATGATCGCCAACTCTCACACCATCGTTAGACCCATTTTGGTGTTTATGTTGGTCTGGCAGAGATGCTGGGACGCACTCCCCTGGTAGGCAAATTATTCACCATCGCCAAGTAGCATGAACATACAGGAAATCAGGATACTGTACTGGTTGTCTTTTTTTTGTTGTTGTGCATGAAAGCGAAATTCACATATTGCATATATATTAGGAATCGACAAAAAATACAAATATAAGAATTTTACAATTTTTTTATATTCATTCAATTATTAAAATCACTTTTGTTTTATCTCTTCGATTGTTGCAAGTGCGAGGGTACTAGGCAAAGAAAGTGAAAGAGTGAAGGGCCTTGAATAGGCCTATAAATTTTCTGTTTACCACTCCGTGACGCTTCGCTAACGTTGAACATTTTGCGTTTTTTTTTAATTGAATAATTATTCGGCAATAGTCATTACAGCAACTTTCAGTAAACGTTGCCTTAAAGTAATATTAAGACAGTCAAATGGATTGCACTATAGGGGTGTATATCCTAAAAAATACATTTTCTTTTATTCTAACACTTAGGCGTTGTTTAATGAAGCTTTCACTTTTTTCAAGCAATTAAAACAAGAGCAGGCTACTGCATCATTGATGCTCTCGTTAATTGCAGTTACTGATTTATTATTGCTTGAAGGTGGCATGATGACCATGTGTTAAATTCTTGGGTACTGTTCACCACATACTGTAGATTGTAGATAATGTAGAATATCTCTCAACTAAACAATTTAGTCTCTTTTTTTTACAATATCTTTGTGGTGTACTGTTAGTATTTAATACATTACATTACTGTATCAGTGGCATATCTGGAAGTCTTGAAATGGGGTGGCTGATGGGAGGGGGTGCTACTAAGGTGAAGGGGCCCGATGATCAGTTGAGGGGCACTAATTCTCAAAATAAGGTGATTTTTTTACAACTTGACCGTGATTTTGGGGGGGGGGAAGCAAGTAATTTTTGGGGTTAGGGTTAGATACGCCACTGTACTATATTATATACAAAAAATAGTCTTTTCTTACACCCTATATAGTATTAATATTTGGTAGTACCTACCACCAAGCTCATCTCCATTGTTATCCAACACTGCACAATTGCACACTTTAAAGCCCTGTACCATAAATTATTTACAAAACTGTATTAATGTATAGTGTGAAGTGTTTTTATTGTTTGTTTCAGCCAAATATGGAGAAGATCCACGTAGCACCTCTTTCGTCGAATAGTATTCCTGCTTTATTTGCTGTGCCGACAGGGTAAATAAATATGTTTATAGAATGTCAACCAAAAGATAGCACTTGGTGATGGCCGTCAGTTCAAAACAGCTGTCACACCTAGGTTGTTAAGTTTACTACAAGCTATTCTAAATGAAATACTGCTACTAATTTTCAGACAAGAGCTTACCAAGATATACTAAATTACTATGAGCCTTAAAAATTACTACAAGCCTCATGAGTTTTATATTACATTTTATTCATAATAAATATGTTTTATATTATATTGTTTTTTTCTAGGCTAATGTAAAAAAAATTTTTGAATATTTTCCAAATTAATGTCGCCAGTTCAAAGCAGCTACGTGCTCTGCCAATGTTGCCAGTTTTTGACATGGAAAAAATCTTTGGAATTTGTCGGCAGAAAAAAACTTAAGGTGTGAGAGCTGCTTAAAAAGTTTGAGAATTGAATATCACATACAATATTTGCTAAAAGAGATAATTACCGAAGTGCATGGAGGTTTCTGGTGTAATTTTGTTTTGAGTTTAGCATTTAAAATCTAACATTACAAAATAACATATAAAACATTATTCTAAAACAACGAATCAACAGATGTTGACTATATAACATTAACACAAAATTTATTGACATAAAGAATCAATGTTTCGTGTCCATCATGGGCGCATTTTCAAGATCAATTTTAAAACACTGGCTAAAATTAAGATTTTGATGTGATTTTCTTTGTGCTATGAACAAAACTGTGTGAGTGTGAAACATTTAATTATTACAATACGTAATATCAACAGCAATAGTTTGGTATTACTAAAAAACAGCTTTTTTAACCGTTTTTTTAATCTAAAAGCATTTAAAAAATTTTTATTATAACATATTTTATGTAAATTTATTGTTTTTATTGTATTTTTAGGAGTGGTAATGGCATGAGGCTGTGTAAGCGAATTATTTTCATCAAAAATGGTATGTCATACAGCAATTATGTTCCAATAACCCAAGTCGAAGCGGATTCCAAAAACATGTTTGGTGTTGCAAGAGTTGTAAATTTACTAGATGAGAAACACAAATTCAAACGTCATATGGTTATTAAAAACTGGATAAACCATGTAAAAGCAGCTAAGGGAGCTATCACTGCAGTTGCATCACCAATAAAGAAGCCTACCCCATCAGGGCCTGCGTCTAGCTTTGTCCAAATTCCGGTATCCACATCTGAAAGTGTTACACCTAATAGTGCAACATTAGGAAACTCCATTAAAAAACTTCAATCAATTGCACCTGCATCAATGCTGTCCCCCTTGGAAGTTAGTAAAGTCAGTAACAAATCTGACACTGTTTCCACACCAAAAATTGTGTCAAAAGATTCCAACCATCCAGGAAAAAATGTCCAAACAAAGCAACAGCAGGTAGTGAAAGTATTGCCTGTTAAACATCACGAACAAGGTGGGCCTACGAATCCATCAAATATAAAAATAACATCTGTGTTTTCACTTGCTGAAAAAGGCGGACTATATTTTCCCAAGAATATTAGTCAATCTGCAGTAGCAAGTACGCAATTAAATGCATTGAAACAAATTGCAGGCCATGTAATACATGTTAAGAGGCAAACAGAACCTCAACAAGCAAGCAATGTAAAATATCAATTACCAAACTCCAATTCAGCCCAACCATTGGAAAAAGCACTGCCTTCTGGCATAACGAACTTAAATGTACAGAGAGGCCAAACAAGCAAGTCCTCTATTGGCATTGCTCGTAAATCAAGCAGCAAAGAACTGATTCCATCTAGTTTGCAACCAAGCTTTGTAACATTAAAACAATCATGTATCAAGGAAAAAGCAGGTACAAATTTGGAATATAGATTGGACACGGACATCAAAGAGGATGAACCAGTTGATGATACCAAGAGCAGAATGTCTAACACTAAACCCTTTAATAGAAAAAGTTCTGCAGTCAGGAGGAGCCAGAGAAGGAAAACAGCAACAAGACCCTATTCACCATCTCAAAGTTACATAAAATCCCAAAATTCACAGACAGTTAAGATGGAGAGAAACAACAATTCTCCTATCAATAACACAGCATCTATTCAGATACTAAAAGGGGTTAAGCATGCACTTAACGAAAATACACTGAGAAGAAATAGAGTACTGAAGATCTCATTACCAAAAATCTTGTCATTGACACAGGAACATGGAGTTAAAAAGAAAAGAAATGAATTCAATAATCAGTCTTCATCAGAAAGCTTTGAAGTTTCAGAGCAACTGATGTCAGTGACAGAAGATGTTTTTATAAAAAAGGAACCATTGGATGCCAGTGACGATAACGATAACGTTGGCTACTTGAACAGTTTCATGAAAGAACAACAGTTTATAATGGAATCATTTATGAGTGATTCAAAATCGATGCATTTTCCCCTTGTAATGATAAAAAAAGAACCACTGTCTGATGATGAAGACATACCAAACCAGGAGCCAGTGCCATCAAAAATAATCAAAGAAGAACCTCTGTCTGATGAGGATGAAGAATGTACATTACAGTTTCAGGCAGACCAACAATGTTTGAATGCAAACAGTGATACAGAAGGTCCATATCAAAATACTTTAGTAGAACAAAAATTGGTAGCCGTGCCTTCATCAAGAGAAGATCGAGTAAAACAATTGAAAGACCGAATCAAAGAAAAGCAGAATGCATTGGCGTTATTCAGAAAGAGACCTCGCATTTCTTTGATTGATGAATTTTAGTATAATTACTCTTGAGTTATCATTATGTGTCTCCTAACTGAAACAATTATTTGTGTTAATTATTTGCTTTCTGAATGTTTAAATATTCAATATTCTTTATGTACTAAATTATAGTGCATTTTTATACTCATTAATGTAACAATCATTATTTTTAAAAAGGTGATTACACTCTGCTGTTAAACTACTGTACTATACAGTTTGATACTGTAATTAATTTTGTCCACATGCCGAATTTGTAGTCATAACTGAAGCCTATAGTAAATTGTAATACTGTAAGTATACAGAAGTGGCTTTGATTGTTGTTTGAGGTATTCATTAAATAGTTTTCCCCAATATAGATTTTTTATTATTTAAGTAATTTGTTCATCATGCTTGTTTCTAATCAATGCCTAGGTAAGTGAAACAATGAAGCTTTCTAGGAAATCACCGGTGCATTCGAATGGTAAACTCTATATACAATTTGCACCATGTCGGTGTCTGTAATACCATCAGCCATTTTAATAGCATAAACATTAATTTCATATTAAAATGTTATATATATATATATATAGCAAATAAAGGGCATTACACTATTATAGTCATTTGAAAATGTTTGTATCCCATTGTATACACCAGTGTTCCAAATTTTTGCATTCGCAGATCTCTCAGGACATTTTGAAACTTACCCGTATTATTAAAATGAACTACAGTCGACACTTCGAACTAGAACTTCTTCTACAGTAGTCTTAGTTGCAACTTAAATTCAATTTGTATATGGCTGGCAAGCAATGACTGTCAAACTAACCAATGAAAATAGCTAATTTTAGCAGACAAAATTTTAGAGGTTCAGTAACATGGATGAATATTAAGCTGCTGTCTCTCCTTCAAAAACATTTTCTCATAATCCATCATTAGCTTTATTAATTTTCTATAATAGTAACTGTGTTAGTCAACACAATAGAGAATTTGAGCAGTCGCTTAAAATTTCTTTGGAGAACTATTATAGTTGAAGCCGAGCGAGGGCAGTACCATCTTTGCAGTACCATCTTTGTTTTTATGGTGAAGCTAGGTGACTGCAACGTGATGGGATTTTGTGCATGTCAGAAACTATCCCACACACCTTTTGGAAGCTAAACTTAATCATCAGACCTACTTAGAGAATCGGTTTTTTAATACTTTTCACTCTATCGTTACAAACACACTTTTTTAGTGGGGTAAATATTTCAAGTTGACAATTTAGTCCGACCCAGGCTGATTTAAAAAAAAAACTCGGGACTGTGGCGGTATCAGTGTAGTCCAGGTTCAGATTTAGTCGTAGTGCTATTCGAAGTTCGTTTTAAGATTTAGCTCAAACTACGACTAAAGTTCGTTTTAAGAATACCGGGGTAAGTTACCTCATTGTCCATATCCAGGCAATAGGAAAAGATTGAGATAAATTGCCACAGATGTACAATATCAAAGTTTATTATTGATTAGCAGTAGGATGTTTATCACAGTTTCTAGACGAGAAAAATAGTGGTATGAAAAATTGGTCTGATTTGTGCATTTGTTTAATATTCCCATATGAGGCATTACAGAGCAGATGATATTAACATTGCAGTCTACTTAGTAATAATTACTTTAAACTTGTGCAGTCATCATAGAGCAGAAAAGAAATTTATATCTCAAACTTGCAATCTCTAGGAAACTTAGAAGTGAATTAAAGCAAATCTTAAATTCCACAGATGCCAACATGATAAAAGAAACTGAAAATAAACTATTGACGCTACCTTATAAAGTTAAGAAATATACCTATATATGGCATTAGCTGTGTATCCTCACAGACAAAAAAGTTGATCATTTCGATTTCCCTGGCTGCTCCCCAATTGTTACAATTCTGCAAAAGGTACATTAGGCCAATTCTGACCCTTTTTAGTTTTGATTCCCATAGCAAAAAATCTTGGTAAACCTTAGATTTAGCTGTATTAATGCTTAGTGAATTTCTAACCTTGTTAGGGCTATTACTCTTGATAAATGTGAATATGTTGACTTTACCAAATTCAATTCTATGGTCAATAAATCTATCAAGGTAAATAAACAGTGGTCTCTTTTGCATATTAATATTAGACATATATCTAATAAAATGGATAAATTTTAACATTTAATTAACACTCTAAATCTTAATTTTTCTGTTATTGGTCTGTCTGAGACATGGTTGAATGACAACAAAGAGTCCCTGTTCCTTGCTTATTGCGAGTTTTTACCCAGTGACAGACTCGATAATGGAGAAGGTGGGGGGGGGGGGCTTTTTGTTAGGAAAGACCTTAATATTTAGCTACGAAATTATCTTATGTTACCTAAAAACATATGCGATTCTCTTTTCATTGAAATCAAGGAACAAAAAAATAAAATTGTTGGCATCATATACAAGCCACCTGATTCAAATATTGAGATATTTTCAACCAAACTGAATGATTTATTTATTAAATTAAACTGCCTTAACAAGGACTGTCTAATGGGTGACTTCAATATAGACCTAATCAAGCTTGTGAATCACAACCTCGTTAATACATATTTTAATACCATTCTCTCAAATTAATTTTTTCCAACTATAGGCTATCAAAACCAAGTCGAATAACAGCTAGCTGTGCAACCCTAATTGACCACTTTTATACCAATCAAAATATTGCTGAAATATATTCCGGAGTACTTATAACGGAGATATCATTATTTGCAAATACTCTAAATTATTGAAACTAAACTAGAATTTTGTTCTGAAAGTGAAAAACGTTGCTTCGTTATTAATGATATTAATTCTTATTGTCTAATGAAGATTGGTCTGAAATTTATAATTGTGAAGCAAAATTATCATTTGATTTATTTATGTATATAATTATGATGCAAAATTATCATTTGAAATATTTATCGATAATTTTCTTACTGTTCAAAATAAACATTTATGCAAAAAAAGAAAAACAGCCATGGATGACCAAATCTATTCTTAAATGCAGTGCTCGTAAACATACACTCTACAAGAAATTTATTAAAACTCAAGATTACTTTGATAAATCAATACATAAGAAATATAATAATATATCACAATAGTATGTGTAAAGACAAGAAAAAATATTTTACAAATAAATTCGATCAATTTAAATCTAATCTTAAATGAACTTGGGGTGTGATAAACCTGGTAATTAATCCTAAGAAAAAAATAAATTGCCATCCCAAAGTTATTAAGATTGACGATAAATACATTTATAATATTAAAGAAATCTGTGAAAATTTTAACTTATATTTTTCTGAAATAGGTTGTACCATTAACAATTCAATGTCTGATTGTAGTATAGATCCCCTTTTTCCCTGTCAACCCCAGTTTTGAATTCTTTTGTTCTTTTATCTACTTGTAAATCTGAAGTTTTAGAAATAATAAACGATCTTAACTCAACTAAGCGATCCGGTTATGACAATCTTACTGCATCTGTACTTGCACAATTTATTTTGAATCATTTAACATGTGTCATCAACTCGTCATTAAACATGTACATGTTGTACAAAATGTACAAACATTGGACATGTACCTCAACGATTAAAAATTGCCAATGTAGTTTCTATATTTAAAACGGGTTACTGCATAACTAATTATAGACCTATATATAGTTTGTGTGTAACCTTTGCTAATACAGCAACTTGCCTAAGTTGACTTTGCCCCTCAAATCATTTCTAAGTCGATCTTATTTTACAAGCCAAATTGTTGTGTTTTCCATTAATTAACGATCTGCAAGTCAAAGGATTTTAAGTCAATCGATGTTATCAGTCTTACTAGAAATCACTGAAAAACTTATACACTCTAGACTATAATTATCATTTTTAAAAAATGCTTTAGAAAAAAAAATCATTCAACCAGTCATAAAATCATTGATCATTTACATTCTATCAACGAATCTTTTAAAAATAAGGAATACTTACTAAGTACATATTTTGATTTATCCAAGGATTTTCACGTCGTTAATCATAGTATATTATTGTCTAAACTTGCTCATTATGGGATCAGGTATTCCATTTGAATGGTTTAAAAGATATTTAAATAAACGTAAGAAATTTGTTGAAATAAATGCCTGTAAATCTTCAACGAGGGATATGACTTCTAGGGTGTCACAGGGGTCCGTCTTAGGTCCCTTACTATTTCTGATTTATGTAAATTATTTAATTAACGTTAGTGACATCCTAAGAGTTAATGATTATATGAATGTTTATTTGATACGTTCAACGAATACTTGTTTTACAGCAAATAAACTCTTGATTAATGCTACAAAGTCAAACTATATCATCTTCCATACCCACCGAAGAAAGCGTAAACTCAAAATTAATAATCAAAATATTTTTCTATGGTTTCAGTATTGAAAGGAAAACGGAAATTCTATTTCTAGGTGTTATTATTCATGAAAATTTAGGTCCAGCAAGGCACTAAGGATCCGCGGGGAGACAAGCTCTGATATATACTATAGGTATATATGATTGTAAATAGACATGTAAGAAGCAGGATCTTGAAAGCAATTCATTGATTAATTGTGGCCAGCGAACGAAGGATGCGTTGTGAATTCTTAGTAATGCAGTTTCTGTGCTGAAATGTTTACGGTATGTTCAAGATATTTCTGAAACTGCAACAAACAAGTCTCGAAAAGTTTAGAGGCCTATCATCTTCATCAAAATTTGCTTTTTTGATTAAAGGTTTAACATGAGAAACATTTACAGTATCAGAAAATATACCATTTGATAACGATGGATTCACTGAGTAAGAAATGAGAGTAATTCATCCAGACATTTGTTGAACACACAGATAGGTAACTGGTCAAACTTAAAAGATTTTTTGATTTGATAATCTTAGTACATTGTCAGATGATACACATGTTTCCCTTCCTTTTACACCTGACAAAAAAACAGGTCAAACTCTTTCAAACCACAATACGTCAGGTGACGGTCTTAATGTACTAACTAAGTAAGAGCACGTACTGGAAACACACACTGCTTAAGCTAAATAAATACAAGTCCTGCTGGAAAA